TTACTTTTTAGGGTGCAATGAATTCAGCAAAATGCAATGTGTCAAAATGTGATTTTACTAGAATCTTTGTTATTACAAAAAATCTTCAAACTTTAATATTGAATTGTATTGAAGTCATCGGTAAACAAGAAAACAAGGCTTTTTTTTTCTGAAATTAAAAAATAAAAGTGTTTTAACTCTGGTTAAAGCAGGTTTATAACTGCTTAATAAAAACGCGTGGCTGTAAAACTAACATTAAAAAAATACTACCCAAACTACTTTTGCTTGACTGAAATTAGTCTAACAAAAGTAGTTTGGGTTGCTGCATCTGTCTGCTAATTGTAAAAATTAAATAAATTGCACAGCCAAAACAAAACAAAAATCCTAGCTCGCTTATCAGCCAGCCTGCAACAAACTGAATGAACCCTGTCTTCCAGTTCAAATTAAAATCCTACTGTATCTTTAGGTTTTTTTTTTTTGCAATTGAAAAGATCCCTTCCAACTGTAGGGAGCTTGCTATGTCATTTGGGTGACATTTACTAGAAAATGGCCAGCAGCCCTCTAAAGGACCAACAGTGACTACTGAAAATCATTTGCAGTTGTCTTCACTGCAGTTTGAAATTTGAATTTTAAAAATGTGATTGAATTTAAATGTAGATGCAGTTAGATGAGCAAAAATTGCAGAAATTATTTTTTAAAACCAAACTATGTAAAAATAATGTATTTAAAAAATTTTTTGGGGGGGCTACAGGCGTCTCATTATCCCCTGCTATTTATTACTGCCCAGTTAGAAAACATTTAGTTGCACATGTATTATTTGGACAAGTATACATCTCTTGCTGAGGGGTCGAGGGGAGAGGAAGGATTGCGTACCATTAAGAGAAGATGGAGAACAAAAAAAAAAACCTTGATAATGGTGCAAAGAGGCTGAGGATAGAGGAAGCAGAAAGGAAGTTGGACATAACTATAAGTCCACGGTGAAGATAATCATGGCTATGGAAGCAGATCTGACTGTTGACAGAGGATAAAGGAAGCAGAACAAGAGCTATTGTGAGTTGTGAATGATGGGTGGAAAAGATAAGTGATTACGCATCATCAGGAAAAGAGGCATAATGAGAATGGATCATGGACTAGAGAGAAGTAGAGGAAGCAAATCGGAAGCTGACCATTGACCAGGGATAGAGAAGACAGTTTAAGCTGGTCTTGAATAAAAATAATTGCAGCAGCTGATTATAAACCTTTGGGAGATTAGGAAAAGTGTAAATTAATTGTAACTAGAGGAATGAGTGGAAGGTGATCATGGCCAGAGGCATAGAGTGTAGTAGTCAAGGTCAGGGAGACATATGGAAATACTATAGAATGGAAGCTGTTCATTGAGAGGAAAGGAGGCAGAGAAAAAGTTGCTTGTAGCAGAAATGGGCCAGTGCCAGGGAGAGTGGGAGTTGTGTTTGTTGGTATATACAGTGGGGGATCGAAAGTTTGGGCACCCCAACTAAAAATTTGTATTAATGTGCATAAAGAAGCCAAGGAAAGATGGAAAAATCTCCAAAAGGCATCAAATTACAGATTAGACATTCTTATAATATGTCAACAAAAGTTAGATTTTATTTCCATCATTTACACTTTCAAAATAACAGAAAACAAAAAAATGGCGTCTGCAAAAGTTTGGGCACCCTGCAGAGTTAATATCTTGTACTGCCCCCTTTGGCAAGTATCACAGCTTGTAAACGCTTTTTGTAGCCAGCCAAGAGTCTTTCAATTCTTGTTTGAGGTATCTTTGCCCATTCTTCCTTACAAAAGTCTTCCAGTTCTTTGAGATTTCTGGGCTGTCTGTCACGCACTGCTCTTTTAAGGTCTATCCATAGATTTTCAATTATGTTGAGGTCAGGAGATTGTGAAGGCCATGGCAAAACCTTCAGTTTACGCCTCTTGATGTAATCCCCCGTGGATTTCGAGGTGTGTTTAGGACATCATTATCCATTTGTAGAAGCCATCCTCTCTTTAACTTCAGCTTTTTCACAGATGGCATCAAGTTACCATCCAAAATTTGCTGAAATTTTATTGAATCCATTTTTTCCTTCTACTCGTGAGATGTTCCCTGTGCCACTGGCTGCAACACAACCCCAAAGCATGATTGATCCAACCACATGCAACAGTTGGACAGAGGTTCTTTTCATTAAATTCTGTGCCCCTTCTTCCAAACCTTTGCATTCCGGCCAAAAAGTTCAATTGATCCAGAACTTGTTTCCAAAATGTATCTTGTCTATATGTTCATTTGCAAAGTTCAAACGATGATTTTTGTGGTGAGGACGTAGAAGAGGTTTTCTTCTGATGACTCTTCCATGAAGACCATATTTGTACAAGTATCTCTTTATAGTGGAATCGTGTACCACAACTCCAGTGTCTGCCAGATCTTTCTGGAGGGATCGTGCAGTCAAACGTGGGTTTTGAATTGTTTTTCTCACAATCCTGCGAGCTGTTCTGTCTGATATTTTTCTTGGTCTTCCAGATCTTGCTTTAACTTCCACTGTTCCTGATGACTGCCATTTCTTAATTACATTCCGAACAGAGGATATTGACATCTGAAAATGCTTTGCTATCTTCTTATAGCCTTCTCCAGCTTTGTGAGCGTCAACTATTTTCAGTTTCAGTTTTCTAGACAGCTGCTTAGAAGAACCCATGGTGCTGATTGTTGGGGCAAGGTCAGATGAGTCTGGGCATTTAAAACCTTTGAGATTGACATAACCTGGTCTTCCCAGACGATGATTGAGAACAATCCATGACACTGGCAGGTCTCAGCTTTGCAAAGGGGGCAGTGCATGCTATAAATTCTGCAGGGTGCCCAAACTTTTGCAGACGCCATTTTTTTGTTTTCTGTTATTTTGAAAGTGTAAATGATGGAAATAAAATCTAACTTTTGTTGACATATTATAAGAATGTCTAATCTGTAATTTGATGCCTTTTGGGATTTTTCCATCTTTCCTTGGCTTCTTTATGCACATTAATACAAATTTTTAGCTGGGGTGCCCAAACTTTCGATCCCCACTGTATGTTCTAACTCTCTTAGGCTCAGTTCACACTCCTGCAACTTAGGATCCGACTTGTGAGAGTCGTAGGATATGTGAAATGCCATGTATCTATAACAGCTAAGAGAGCTGTTCCAATTGACACTACTAAAGTTGCTGTGACTTCAGAAATGGTTCCTGCACCACTTTGATACGACTTTTCATACGGCTTCAGTGCCAGAGAGTGTAAAAGTTGTATCAAAGTCGGACTCCAAAGCAACTTTGGAATTGGCTAGTGTGAGCCGAGCCACAGAGGAAATCTTTTTTTTGCCTATTATCATCAAATTATATAATTCTTCTCTGTGAGTGCTGGATGTGAGGATATAGGTGTCCTTTTATGAAACTGAGATCAGCGGCGATCCTTAGGATTGTTGCTGATCTCAGATCATTAGTGGTTTAGGAAACAGAGATGATCAGCGGAGAAATGTTCTCCGCTGATCATCTCAGCACACAGAGAATCTGTCAGAAAAGGCCAGTGTATGAAGGAGCGATGTCAGCTCTTCATTGGCAATCTGTGTGAAAATTCTCCCTTCAGATTCTCCAGCCCAGAGGTGGAGAATCGGGGGAGCTGCAAATGAAGCAGCGGTAATTTACCGCTGCTTAGTAAACTGTGTGTTTAACTGATCTCCTACTGTAAAATAGATTACAGTAACAGCAGCCATTTTCTAGAGTTCAAAGCGTTTGTAGATCGCTTTTCTCCTCATTAGGAGAAGCGGTCTAGACTGCTTCATGCACAGGCATTCAGAGGAGAACTGTCTCCTCTGAGAATGCCAGAGAACTGAGCAGCGGTCATTTACCGCTGCATGATAAAAGGACACCTTAATCTGGTTTATGCCCTGGATTTTTATGTAGTTTTCTTAGTATGTTGGTATTAGGTTAATTATGATTTTGGGTAGTGCTAGAGGTGGTGGGCTAATCACATTTTGGTAGTTTGAATTTCTTTTTTTTTTTAATCTGTGCTATTTATTCTACATTGTATTTTAATAGTATGCATGGTTTATTAGAGTATATTTTTAATTTAGTTTTATTGCTGTTATTGGTAATCTTATGGTGTCATTGTGTCTTGTTTCGTTCCTTTGTACTGTGTTGTCTTCTGAGAATGTGGTATTTTAATAATTTCCCTTTGGGATTAATAACGTATTCTGATTCTTATTCTGATTCTGTCAGCTGCTACTCTACAAGCTTGCATAAATAACATATTGCCCATGAAAAACTTTGAGACTTGTGTTTTGCTTCCTCCACATACAGTCAGAGTGTAGGTCACATACTGACTGGTGTTTATCTCACACAAAGCTTTAAAGACTAATAAGTGCTTCTGGTTGTTTGTGTGGGTTCTTCACTGTCCACAAAGAATCAGCTGTTTGCCCAATAAGGCTTGGCTCACACTAGTGCAACCCATAAGTTGCACAAATTACAGTGCAACTTTGCAGTGCAACCTTTACACTCTATGGTACTTAAGTCTCAAGAAAGTTGCATCAAAGTAGTGCAGGAACCTTTTTAACCACTAGCCTACAGGGCACTTATACCCCCGTCCTGCTCAGGCCAATTTCCAGCTTTCAGCGCTGTTGCATTTTGAATGACAATTGCACAGTCATGCAACACTGTACCCATATGAAATTTTTTTTCATTTTTTTGTGACAGATAGAGCTTTATTTTGGTGGTATTTAATCACCTTTGGGTTTTAATTTTTTCTTAAACAAATCAAAAACCACTGAAAATTTAGAAAAAAAAAAGTTTTTTCGTAGTTTTTGTTATAAAATTTTGTAAATAAGTGATTTTTCTCCTTCACTGATGTGCGTTAATGAGGCTGCACTGATGGGCACTGATAGGCTGCACTGATGGGCACTGATAGGCTGCACTGATGGACACTGATGAGAAGGCACTGGTAGGTGGCACTGATGGTAGTTGACAGGCATCACTGATGGGCACTGAAAGGCAGCACTCATATATGGCACTGATAGGCGGCACTGACTGGCACTGATAGGCGGCACTGACTGGCACTGTTAGGTGGCAATGATAGGTGGCACTGATAGGTAGCACTGACAGGCACTGATAGGCGGCACTGATGCACACTGATAGGCGGCACTGATTGGCAGCACTGATAGGTGGCACTGACTGGCACTGATGGGTGACACTGAAAGGCAGCTCAGATGGGCACTGATATGTGGCATTGATGTGGCACTGATGGGAACTGAAATGTGGCACTGATGTGGCACTGATGGGCACTGGCAGGTGGCATGGATGAGCACTGAGAGCTGACACTGATGGACACTGGCAGGTGGCGCTGCTGGGGCTACACAGATCATCAGGGCACACTGATCATCAGTGCCCTGATGAACTGTGTACATGTCCCCTCCAAGGAATGCCGATTACCGGCTCTCCTCTCCTCACGAGCTGTCAGCGTGACAGCTCGTGGGGAGAGAAATGCCGACAACCGGCATTTCCCTGTTTACATGTGATCAGCTGTGATTAGACACAGCTGATCACATGACCGAGCCGACATCTTCGGCTCTTTCCGTTAATCGGTGATCTGCTGTGTCCGAGGGACACAGAGCACCGCCGATCGCCGCGCTGCATGCTCCCAGAGCCGGGCATGCGTGGTTAGAATGGGAGGACGTCATTTTACTATATGGCGGGCGGGAGGCGGTTAAAAGACGTTGCAACTTTAGTTACATAGATTGGAATGGATGCTATTGAAATAAATGAGTTTTGACTTTCGCATGACAATCCGCACTAGTGCTAACCACTTAGCCACTGTCTGGACCAACTGAAGTCCTTTCTGCTTCAGTCTATAATAAGGTGAATACTGGAGAATACTGCTTAACCAACAACCAGAAGTGCTTGTTGACTTCCATACCATTGAGTTCAACAATTTACAGTAAGTGACCCTGTTTGCACACACTCCAGAATGAGGAAACACACAGTATATATGGGGAGGTACTCTTAGTATCTGATTTTTTAAATAAGCTTTGAAACAGGGAACTGATCATCAGGAGAGGGTGGCAGAGCAGGAGGTGACTATTCATGAAACCAATTTCAATGCCATGTATGAATTGTTCACATTCTTTCTCCTCATGTGTGAAGTGGTGATACAGTTGCATAGGGCTTAGTGGGAAGAGGACTTTTTCCTATGTATTCTCTGGTTGCTGCCTTCTCAATAACTTATGTTTCAGCCAGTGCTGGATTTCTATGTAGTCAGAGACTACGGCTTAGTGCAGTAGGGTTGCAAGTGATGACTCAGCCTCCTACATACCATGCTGTAGTCAGTAACACATTTCTGTTTATAATAATATGTTAATCCCTGCCAGAGCAAATTGGCTGGATCCTTATTCTTGCTGTCCCAGTACAGTTTGTGCATATGTGACAAAACAAAGAAATAGTCAGCTTTGTTGACAACTAACATAAAATGCAGCTGGGGGTCTGTCAGTCTGCCCTCTAAACAAATGAATCTAAGGATACACAATTAGCACTACTTTCAATTACAAGGCTTCAACCATTCTTCTCACTTCTATTCCAACAGTGACAATAAAACCGACACATACTAATAGGGTACAAATAACATTCCTCATACAATTATTTTGGTTGATTATACTTCAACTGAAGAACAATTTTTTTATCCCCCTGTAAATTGCATTTCTCACTCCTAGTCTTTCCTTATTTCCCCCAGATAACACCTCATTGTAGAGCACTTTATAAACATTCACTCTTTCTTTGTGTATTCTATTCCTTTAGCCACCATTTAAAGATTTACTTGTTATACATTTTTACTGTTCTTCTTTTCTACCTCGCATTGCTGAGACTGGCATGTTCATCTTAGGTGCCAGAAAACCTAAAGGGTGCCCGTCCAACTGAGCTAAGACAGATGGAGTTTGCACATCCACATCTATGGTGGCCGGATAGGTGCAGGGTACAGAAATGCACCTTTTGGTCAATGGACAACTGAACAGGTTGGGAAATTGGGAAGCACGTTACAAAGCAATTAAACGAGCGTAATTTACTTCTAATTGACCTATTTAAACATAGCCAGCAAAGTTTCATAACATTTTTTTTTTAAACAAAACTGGATCTTCCATATGAGTAATAAAGTTGTTAGTTGCTCGTCAAAAGTGAAAAAAAATACTCTGCAATTTGTCCCTTTTATAAATTCACTACAATTATGTTTCTGGATCCAAAATATGGCACTACAGACAGGGACTCAAACTGAAAAAGTTTACGTGCAAATGGTAGCAAATGCAAATGAGATAAAAAATGATATAACAACAGAAAATGCCATTTTCAGTGAAATACAGTTACACCTTAACTTCTAAATGGATTTGCTAGTATTTCCCATTTTATATACAAAAATTGCTTAAAAATGAAAAATATGGTCATAGCCATAGGTACAGCTGTCTATATCAAGATCCTACAATATCCTACAATATCCTGCCACACTCAGTGCTGGATTCAGAGCAGGACTGGCAGAGCTCCAGCTTTGGAGCTTTTAGCTGGCTCCAGTACCTGCAGCTGGAGCAGAGGTGATCACTTTAAAAAAAAGGAGTTGAAAAGGAATACTTGTGAAGTGCTTAGTTTTAACAGAGTTCAATTGTCTAAGCAAAAATGGTACAATGGCTCTCTCAAGTCCAGTTAGGTGTTCCTTGGTTGATGTTAAAGAGAAAGCTGTCAGAGGGTCCTGACACTTCCTTTTTCTGTCATATCAAAGGGGTGTTGATAGACTATCTGACCAGTTACCCAGTTTAAGGGGGGTGGTTGGCTGGGAAGTCACCACGTATATGACTGTATCAGACCTCCCATAGCACAGTTTAATACTAAGATTATTATCTTCTGCTATGTACAGGTTGCATTCTGGAAACTGGTAGATTACTGTTCAGCATTATATTTCGTGTCCAGGGATATCAAACACAGAGTATTTTGGATGGGTCTATCACCCAGGAAGGAGGAGACTGCTTTCTCTCACCTTTTATTGTGTTAGCTTAGCCATGTATGACCTTGATTTGTTATGATTTTCCCCTTTCAATATATACTTAATATCAATGTGTCTTGGTCCTGTTGGAGTTTATAATTTGTGTGTGGAATTTGTTAAGTTGTAAATTAGGAAGAGGTCTCAGAGAGGACGACCATGCCTGGTGTTACGTACCTGGTTGGGGAGCCTGATGTGGAGAGAGGGGGTCCTCTTACAACCCCCGCTCATAGCCCCTGGAAGTGGGAACAGGGGCACAGAGCCAGGAGTGGCAGGAGTGCCGTATGGATCCTAAAGACTGTTGGCAGGTAGCTGGGGACCCAGGCGATCCGGACACAAGCCAGCTGTGAGTGCAGGAACGTAGGTGCAGCAGTAAGCAGGCGTGGCGGCAGTCTGAGTGCGGGTTTTGGGATTGTGCACCGCTGCGTGGATGCAGTGGCTGACAGGTATGGTGGTGATCCAGATGCAGGCCAGATGCAGAGCTGTGGGTACAGCGGCAGGTGGTTATGGTAGCCGACCAGATGTAGGTCAGGTGCAGGTGCAGGCAGGATAATACAGCGGAGTCAGGGGAGCCGGGTCAATATTAAGCGGGCAGCGGAGTACAGGAGGAGCAGACCAGAGAATGGTCAGGGATAGCCGGGGTCAGTGCAGGCGGAGTTCTTTCTTAGGCGGGTATGCAGAATACAGGTATCAGGATCAGGAATGTATGCAGGGACGTTGTAGACCAGAAGGCAGTGATTTTACATTGAAGCAGGTTTAAATAGCCCGCCTGACGTGACGTGGGCGCTTACTGCGCATGTGTGAGCTTTCCCCGCTACCGTGCATGCGCGGCCGCACGCTCCCGCGCCTGCGCACGTGCACCGCCGCGATTTGAGGGAATCCGTTGCACCCCTGCATGGCGACAGGATCCTTGACACCTGGATGCTTTCTGTATAGATGTTTCATGGCACGCTATATGTTCCTAGTGCTTAAATTGCCCTACACATCATATGTGACAGAAAAGACGGATGTCATTGTTTTACAGAAGGTCAGAGGGAAGTGATTAACTGTAGAGTGTTTTATGGTCTGTAGCAACAGATATCCTGCCAGGCCTCAATTACCGGTTTACAGCTCTGACACAGGTGTGTGTACTGGTGTCTGCTGTCCCTAAGTTGAGATAACAGTCTCTTTCGAAGTGTGTTAAAAGTTAAAGCTATGAATTCTATAGTTTGCAGGAGGAGGGAGGGGGTAAGATTACTGGGCTCATGAAAAACAGTCTACAGCTTCCATGTGCCTAATGCACAACCATTACACTCTGCACCTGTGCTAGAGAAGCAGAGCTGCAGGATTCCATCATTCTATTTTGTTTCTGGTGTTCTAATACTGTAGGGTGAGTGTTGTCACCCTAGGACATAAAGTATGTTACTGGCAGGATCACTGCTGTAAATAATTTTGTAGTGGCAAAACAAAATGTCTAAATAGTAGTATAAATTATGATGTTTTAAAATACTTTCTTGGATCTATTCTTGAATATGTATAATTATTGCACATGTCTTTGAACCCCTACATTTGAACTATTTTTTTATCCTAGAATTTTCATGTATGGAATGCCTGAAAATTGAGATAGTAGAAAAGGTAGAGTTTGTTGCACAACCTTTTAGTGGTAATTTAAAAACTTCCAGAGATAAATGATTCCTCTCCTTTAGATAGTACCTTTTAAGAACCTAAAGAAATATAGCCAAAGCTCTTTTGGCTATACTACTCATATGGATCACAGGAGTGCAGTTCGTTCTGCATTCCTGTGACCTGTTTTCAGCTGACAGTCACAGAACTCAGGCTCTGAAAAGATCCCAACCATATGGTCAGGATCCACCCAGATGGCTGGATAGCACCTGGCACAGCCTCTCAGCAAACCGGTGAGAGCCTGAGCCATTGTCTTCAACCACCTCCCCGCCCCACAGCCTGGCGGAGCAGAGCAGAAAGCCGGTGGCTGACAGTCACCGCTCTCTGCTTCAAATGAAGGGGAGAACTGAGTGATCAGCAGTCTTTGTTCCTTCAATTCTCAGTGTAGAGCCGGTGAGAGACAGATGCTGCATTGGATCAATGTGTGCAAACAAAACCCTCTTTTGTAACGTAACTTGTTAGACAGGGTCAATTTGGTTGTTTTGCAGGTTGGCTGGTGAGTGTGTGGGAAAATCTTTTTTTTCTTCAAACGTTACTGCAAAGGCTAGTTATACGGTAGTTTGGTGTGGTGGCCACTTTTTTGTACAATTGGTTGATTTGGGAGTGGCGATTCATGTGCGTCATGTGCGTCCACTGTGCCTTTAAGGAGGGTTGTGCTCCCTCCAGGCACACATGCACTCAATCTATCCATTGCTCTATGTGCTTCTACTAAGGACACTCTAAAATAGAGTTAGGACTGCAGTATACAGAGGAGCCTTGGCATGGGCACTGCAGCTTAAACATATATTTTTGCAAATGTGTGCAAACAAAACCCTCTGTTTTAACATGTTAGACAGGGTCAATTTGGTTGTTTTGCAGGCTGGCTGGTAAGTGTGCTGGGAAATCTTTTGTTTGTTTGTAATTATGTTGATATTGGTGGCACCAAATTGTCCCAGAAGGACATGATACTTGGACATTCTCCAACTCCTTCGAGATACTCTGTGGGCATTTCCAGA